ATAATTTTCTGGTGTAGCCGATGTAATATTGCCACCTCTCTTCCACGTCGTACTGGGTCGTTGGAGACTGTCGGCAGCTTCTAATTGCTTATAATTTTCAAGGGATGATAAGTATCCATAATAGAGCTGCTGCGGCGAGTCGCACTTAAAAGCTTTTGCATTAGCTCTTATTTCGACCGGTAAACCTCTGATCACACATGATATCGCTTCCTCGCCTCCAATATTGCATTTTTTGAGCAAAGATATTTTATCGTGATAGTATTTTGTCATAGTTTCACTATTAGATTTCTTCCTTGCAAGCATAGCTTCTAAAAGATCAACATAGTCTGTAGACCGTGGAAACGCGGTCTCTAGCGCATTTTTCCACTCACTCCAAGTAAGATTATAATCTTCTAAATCGTCATACCAACCTCTGGCAGAACCCCGAAGGCGAAGTTGCATGATGAACTGGCGATCCTTATTATTCCAATTGTACACATCACCCAACTGGTCGATTTTATGCAACCAACCCTTGACGTTGCTTGTTTTTTCATCTGGCTGAAACGTTGGAATAACTTCAGCATCGGTTTGAGTTACATGTCTCCTTTTCTGCCGGCGGTATTCGTGATCGGAATCCTCATCACTAGTTGAAGAAAAAAAATCGTGGTTTTCGTTGTATTCGGAAGACAAATTTTTTCTATACCTTCGTTTCTTTGCGCCAATACCTTGAATATATGGGCCTGACATTATCCCACTTCTGAAATGTAGATGGCGGATAGACTAGGTACGACTAACCGCAGATAAACGATATTTTTACTTGGTATATATATACTTTGTAATCACTTTCACAAACTGACAGAGTTACTCTTCACTCCTTTACTTACTGGCGGTTACAAAACAACTGACTGATCTATCCGTCACAGCGGCCTTTTATACAATTTAGATATTAACCTAATAATGAACATTAATATTCTTATTACTATAAATATTGCATCATAAATTATAAAATAACTGTCAATCAATATAGCAACGACTAAACACTAATAACAATTGTTTATACACATTTAATAACATTAATCTTAGGTTCGCCGGAAGCTGACAAGCGGAAGGCGTCAGTTATTATTTAATCATCATTTATTAAATATTATAAAAATTATGTTATTAATCTAATAAAGGTTTTGTAATTCTCTGGGAGATTAAAATAAACTTAATTATGCGAAGAGCTCGTGAACCCAGGACCGGAAGACGATAACAATTATTATTAGGGGAAAATTTAATTTAATAAAAACCAAGGTTTTCCAGGGTGATTTAGCTGTACCTACTTATATAAATAGTTTTTTTATAAAACAAAAAATAGTACAAAATGTTTGTAATCTCTGCATAAAAATAGTCACTTACTCTCAATTTCAAAGAAAACGCGTAGAAAAACACATAGTTACCCACTAAAAACAAGTATCCTTTCGTTTGTAACTGATGTTTGATGTCAACTAAACTTGATTAGGTCTAAACAAGTGAAAAAAGCATAATAAAAAGATAATTATTTTTACACATGGGTGATGGCACAATAGGCGTGTCATCAATGCCAGGCGTGTCATAAAATATTTGTTCGCCGCCACAGCTAAAAGTGGTCGAAAATTGGTGCCGCAACGAATCGGTTAGGTAAATTCCTTTATAGTATACTATATACGGTTATATATACGGTTCGAATCGTCGACGACTGAGTTCTTTCCGATCGGTTTGACTCACTGGCACTGCGTAGAGATGTTGCATCTCTTTGCGTATTTTATCGCATTTACCATGGGGAGTGCTCTGAGAAATTGTTTGACTAATTACAGCCGCTCAATTTCATCAACGCACATCGCGACAAAACTTACGATACCATCCATACCACCTGGATGATTGGCGGCCAACCACTGTACGATTTAGAAGATGTTTTCTTCCTCGCACAACTTTCTTGTGGTATTGATTACCACCAGCGATTTTTCTGGACCGATACGACTTAGGGACCTTCAAGATAAGAGCCTACTCCTTTTTAAAAGGGCGACAACGCATCTGCAATTCCCCTGGTGTTGCAGTTGTTCATGGGCGGCGGTAGTCACTTACCATCAGGTGAGCCGCATGCTCGTTTGCCCCCTCTCCTATAAAAAAAATACTGCTTCACAATATGAAGATGCGCCACATTGTGTAGCTTTCAGGAAATTTAGACAGTAACTTGAGCCAGCAGACAATTGGCGATATTATCTCAAGGCGCCAAAGCAAACAGACACCTAAACTTGGGATTCATATCACCATCGGAGCATTTTTTCCCCCGTTACCAATAACAGAAAAAATATTACTTCTTTTTCATTAAAGGCAAACAGACCCTTGGCAAAATTAGCGAGTTTGACGGTTCTCGGATTGACTGCACTAGTGATGTTCCAAGATAATTCGATCTTATATTTGTTTGATTAATTTCTACATTTTATTTGACTTAAAATTATTGATTTTTGAGTTTAATAGTCATTAAAATCAGGATTATGGTCAAGGGTTTCTTATTTTCATTATATAAGGCCTAGTCTTCGTAAAATCACGGTATGGCGATGCAGAATGTTTAAATGTACCTTGCATTTTATTCAATTCGCTAGAAAAATTTGTATCTATTACCGTCATAACTAGTAATAGAAGCTATACTAAAAGTTAGTAAACAATGTCATTTTACCCTACAGCTTTGCCAGATCGTACTCCACCTTGTAAAAAAAAGGTAAAAATATGAAAAATAATCTTATGAATTTTGAAGTTTTTGTGATAAATCGTTATTTTGTACAACTTGCGGTAAAATATTATTAAAAAAAGTAATTCAACGATTAATATTTACATTTCCAGTCTTTTCTAATAACATCTGCGTATCTTTGTAGGAATAAGTACTTACGTACGCATAAAGTATCAAAGGATACATATTTCTATTAAAATATATTATAAGTCTTTGTCATATAAAAATGTTACTTATCAATTTTTATTTTCAATTATTATTATAAGTCGATAATAATCGTGAATTGCATTAGATAATTACTGAATAACAATCATTGATTTTCGTGCATTTTATGAAATGATACACACACGTCATTGTGTCTATATCGTAAGTACGTATGTCAAATTAATGTCGAATATTTGCACCCCGCCTAAGGGTATTAGTGTTCTGTGATTTTCACACATTGACTAATTTGTGCTTGTGAAATATGTTGATTATGATTATATCACATTATTTGCTTGTGCTGTTTCCCACTTTCTTTACCGTTGCACTTTTGCTTGATTATACTGACGACTTATGCTTTTATAAATATACGGACTCGATCACACCTACTTATTGACTTACTGCATATTACTACGGACATTCTGATAATTGCATCCACGATGTTGAGGTTCACTAATTCTCATATTTGCGTCGATGGGATGCAGGGGCATTTTGTGTCCTCATTTCGATTTACAATCTTAACTCTTCTTTCAACATCTTTGCACATCGGAGATCTTTGCAACAGATATATTTAGTTTTATAGCTTTTTATATGGTTGATAATTTATGGTCCTGACGTTGTTGTAAAATTAGTTACTAATCTGTAAATATTTACACCTTCGTCAGACACATGTCATAATAATACGTATCATGAAAAATAATTTTGTAAATATTATAAACTCGTTTACATGACTAGGACTTAGACTCTATGAAAAACAGGTAGATTAGATTCTAGATCTTAGATTCTATACAAGAGAACCCTTTTTCCAATGTTACTGATCATTATATAATTATGCTCCTTAAATTCTTATTTATATATATATATATCACTAACGCCTGATAATTTATATTCTGCAACGAATACTGTTCTAAAAAATAAGGTAAATGTAATTATTAAAGTCCAATTTTAAAAAATCGCAAGTTCTAGACTTAAAATTATATAATTTGGATGAAGTAATAAAGCAGAAAAAAATGCTGCCATACGCCATTCGTGTACACCACACTTTTGGGTGGGGCAAAGTTCTATAGAGAATCTGGCATTCTCCTTTTTCGTCAAAATAAATGTACAAACAGATCTTTAATTTATTTCTAGTAATAATTTTTTGTTCTGTTACAACTTGTTAAGCGAAAGAAAACAAACTATACATCTTTTGCTTATTTATTCTTAGTCCTATTCATGCAATCACATACAGTATAAAATTTATATTACAAAGAATTTTAACAAATGTTAATTTTTATACAAAATATTTCTTTATTTAAATCACATTCCAAAATTACTTATTATAATTAATAGAACACAAATATTGAAGTAATATGTACTTGCATACTAGATTAGACTAGACAGCTTTTTAGATCTAAAACTCTTTAATTCTAGGTCTGATACAAGATCTATAATTTTACCAAAACATGTCCGCGAGTGTTAATTGATTAAAACAATTAAATTCCGTGTGTTTTATCGATATTACAGGTAACTTGGATGCAAAAAGTCAATCCGTGGCCTTTAGTTTTTTCTCGTCGAGTGGTTGACATAGCACTTAAATGTGAATGAAGACATATTTATTAGGCTTTAACGTAGCTTTCAAACGTCACGTTAGAGCAAGTGCCTGGCACATACAAATTGAGTTAGAGCCGGCGAACTCTACATGTTACAAATAAACAAGTCTTGTTGTCTGTTCTAGTACATACTACATATTACTGCAATGTACACAATTTAGAAAAATGAGTTATACTCATATAACTATTGTTCTATATAACAGTCAGCGAAAAATAACGGATGGGAATAATAATAATATCTAAAAATCTAAATCACTTATGCATTTAAAGAATTTTATCAATAAATAAAAAATGCAATGACAATTATGTACTGAATCAGTTTGATTTGCTATTAAATAAAAATTATAATATTAAAGCATATCTGTAAAAAATTAGTTATTCCGTTTATCAACCCTAAGAAATCCACTCTAGGGTGGATACTCGGAAAAGCTTGTTCGTTTATCTACCCTAGTCTTTTTCCTTTTTTTTTCTCTTTTTTTCTACTGTATCGTGGAGGCAGTTTACAAACATAAATTGCACGAGGACAAACGTCCAGCCCCGGAACAAGAATCTGTTCTGTGGAAAAAAAATCACTACGGCACGGAGCTGTCATAGACGGGGTGGATAGTCGGAATTCACTTTTTGATTGTTGTTCCGCCTTTCCACCCCAAATACAGTTCAACAGAAAATATATTCATATTTTAATACATTATTGATTAATTTTTAATAACCACAAACTTAAACAAAATCATATTACGTATTACATTTAAACCTAAAAGTCCAGTGCAAATAAAGTTCTTTCACTACGTTTGGTTTATCTGCCAACTTCCAAAAGACGGTACTCAATTCGACTGTATGTTTTTTTATGTGTGTTGCCTCATAACTTTTTACTGGATGATCCGATTTCGAAGATTCTTTTTTTTATTTGAATGCTAAAAATTTGATCAAGGTCAGACCAATAGTTTTGAGTTATTCTTAATAACTTATATTGAAGTCGGCTGTACAAAATTATTAATTTTAAATATTTATTAAGTGGCGAAGCTTGCGAAGTCACTTATTGATTTCACGATGTCTGTCCGTCTGTCCCACGATTATCTCGAGAACGGTTTTGAATTTTCAAATTCTGTTTTCAGCAATCGATTACTGATCACCCAGGCATCTGAACCTCCTATTTTGAAACTGATTGCTCAACGGCAACCGTTAGAAACCGCTACAAAGCTGATTGCTTCGCCACTTTGCTATGCTGTTAGCTTGCTAGGTTTATTATGTTCTATGATTCCATCAGACAGTGTAGTGGGGGCGGTATAAGAATATCCACTACTCCATATCATCAATTAGGTGTCGCGTAAGACACGTTAGACTAGAAAGCCCATTGCGCCATTTTTTTATTATCTAACGGTTAGAGGGAAACGTACCAGGAGGAGAACAGAGTATTCTTAATAACAACAAAGAAATAATGCGTGGCAACTATGGCAAATATCCTCCTTATGAGGTAATCAATGGGGGCCCTATATTCAGCATTGGTATTTATTAAATTGTAATGAATGAATGAAAATGTACCACCCGCATAGTGTACAGATGCAAGTCAATGAACAACAAAAAACATTATTAACTATGTGAGAGTTTTAAATGCAACACATTCACATTTAGAATTAACAATATCCTCGGTCTTGTCAAACCTAAATTAAAGTAAATATTAATACATTAAAATTCATTATATTATACTCATTAATGGAAATGTATAACCGAGATATTGTTGACGCACTACAACATTTTTTTTAATTTTCAAATTAAACTGTCAACGTATCAGTAAAAAATCACCATGAGATCAAATTTAAGAGCATTATTTATAAAAATCGAGCAAATAATTTTGACAGCTTTTTTTATAGAACATTACATAAAGTAAAAATTTGCAATGCTAAAAAAGTATTTATAATTTTTTAAAGTATAACTAATATAAAGTGAAACTTCCTAATAGCAAAATGATTTTAACTTATATGTCGCCTGATAATATTTGCAGCGTCTTTTTGGCCTATGTCTTCAAGAATTAGTGCTAAAGATTTTGAAGTAATGTCATCATCATACTCCTGAAAATAAACAAGGAAACAATTAATGAAACATAAGAAATACCATAATTTACGATTTGTGCTTTGTGGTAGCGGCTTGATGGAATCCATCACTCCATCCATTATATTCATACTTTAAACACTAGGAACAAACATAAGCTTCTTATACCAGTTACTAGACTCTACAGAATTAGCTTTATAACAAAATCCCAAAAAATGTACAAAATTTGCCAATAAACAAGTTTAAATGTTTTATTAAAGATTTTCCGAACGATTGGTAAATAAAGGAAATGATTAAATAAGATTATGTAATAATCTATATTGAATAAAAAAATATTCTATTCTATTCATCTCATCATGAGAATGTCGTAGGAGGCGACTATGAGATATGCTAGAAACATTGTAGAATCCAATAAATGACGGCATAACCATTTAGTTTACGCCAGGCGTAAAATACTCAGATCTGCACCGGGGAAACGAGACATCTGCTACTGCGGTTGTCAAGCCGCAGTAGCCGACGACGTCGCTCTGTTGCGGACGACGAGGGGACCCCCGTCGGCTACTACATCACGACTACTACATGACTACATCACGCCATGAATCGCAACTCGCGACCAATCGCAGGACAACGTCGGCCGTGAAACACTCGCCGCGAAAATAAAAAGGCGGCTTAAAAAAGAATAGCTCCAGTCAACAAGACGAACAACACTAAGAAGAAAAGAAAGATCCCTCACAGTGCCAATTTATTAATTATAATTTAATAACTAGAAATTTGCCTGGGCTTCGCTCGGGTGATTTCTGGATCTCAACAACAGCGCCACCTATCGGGCCTAAATGAGAATCTAAACCATCTAGTGACCCATTCAAGCACACGTTTTATACGTGGTATAGCCATGCTGCAGCTATATTAGTAGTATAGTTGTAGCACGAATGGGTCGGCTCGACCGGGGAAGGACCACGCTCTCACAGAATACCAACGTAAAATAGCAGTTTAACACTGCTGTGTTTCGTATGGTGAGTGTAGAGAACCGGAGACCCTTTCTACTGGAAAAGGGGCATTCCATCTTAGTCTTCACGGGTGACAACGCATCTGCATTTTGATTCGCAAACGAGGATAAATGTAGATGTCTATGGGCCACAGCAACCACTTACCATCAGGTGGACTGTGCGCTCGGTTGTCACCCGATCCTATAAAAAAAAAAAACGTAAAAAATTTCATCAAAATAGGTCGAGCCGTTTTAGAGTTTTAGCGAGACTAACGAACAGCAATTACTTTTTATATAAAACGTGCAGCAACAATGATGACTTTAATTTAACAAAATCAAATTCGACAAAATCGTCGATTCGAGACAATGCCCTACTCATCCTCGCACTGTTGTAGGAGCTCTTCAGCGCATCCGCGAAAACCGGTCAGTGGATACTAGGTCTCAACACCCTGATCGACCGCCTACTACACGACAAAACCCAATCCAGTTCCCTGAAAATGTGATACAATATTTCGAAGACCATCCCAAAACTAACCTCCGCCAGAGCGTCCATAAAGTCCATCACAAAACCGTCCATAAAATATTAAAGCGCGAAAAGTGGCACCCATTTAGGTTTAGAAAAGTACATACTCTGCTATCGCGTGATAAATTAATAAGATTGAATTAGTGTCAGTGGTTACTGAGTAAAATTGAAGAGGACAGTGACTTTCTATCCCAAATTTGTTGGACTGGCGAAAGCACGTTCACCAGAAACGGCATGTGGAACCAGCACAATCTGCACCATTGGGCACCCAAAATTCAAAACCCGCGCGTTTGGCAGGAGTCAGCCCATCAGTACAGATTTTCGGTAAATGTTTGGGCAGCTATTCAAGGTAACATCATCATCGGACCCGTATTTTTTGTATGGTCTTTGAACGGAGAAAGATTTTTTAATCTACTATATGACACAGTGTCAGAATACACAAACAACCTAAACGTCCATCGATACCAACGAATGTGGTACCAATTAGATTGCGCGCCAGCACACTCTGTAACAACAGCCAAGCAGTGGCTAAATGACACGTTTGGTGCACAATGGATTGGTAGGTTTGGACGTCGTAGGTGGCTAGCAAGATCGCCAGACCTCACGCCACTAATTTTTTTTCTGGGGGTGCATCAAAGACAATGTGTACGCGGAGAACGTGGATTCGGTGGAACAATTATGCCATCGAATAATAAATGCGTTAGAGAAATTGTGAATTATTTTCAAATGTGCGGGAAAACATGAAACGCCGTTTAGTTCTTTGTATCCGCTAACACGGTGGTCTCATTGAAAATAAGAAATTTTAAAATAAAGACAACTAAAAGCAGTGATTAGTGATGACCGTTGTAACTAATAGTAACAAGACAGGGTGATATGAGGATATCCGCAGTAGAACCAGAGTAACCGACATAGCCCAACGGATTAGTAAGCTGAAGTGGCAGTGGGCCGGCCATATAGCTCGAAGAACCGACAACCGATGGGGAAGAAAGGTTCTCGAGTGGCAGCCTCGTACCGGTAGGCGAAGTGTAGGGCATCCCCCCACGAGATGGAGTGACGACCTGGTAAAACATGCAGGAAGTCGATGGATGCAGGTGGCTCAGAACCGTGCTTTGTGGCATTCTTTGGGGGAGGCCTATGTTCAGCAGTGGACTTGTGAAGGGCTGTAATGATGATGATGATGAGGGTGATATGATGTGTTTGACTAAGCACCTCTGCTATAGGTACTCTCCGGGGCCGCTCGGTTTCATTGATTTTAAGCCGTCAAGGAATCAGACCGATAACGAGTAGGTTACAAGACGCGTCGCGCGGTTGCCAACGCGCAAAACGCACGTTGCCGCTCCGAGTTAACGTAAGCCAAGCTAGGTAAGTAATTTCATGAATGAATCTTTGTAAGGGTGATCCCAATTTTAGTTACTTTTTGTATTATTAAATTTGTTTGAATTTTTTTTTTCAATTTACGAGTTATTTTAAACTATCAAAATTAATGTGATTAATGGGCACTAGCCCTACCCGTGTGTTAAATTAAAGTCACCATTGTAGCGGCCACGTTGTATAAAAAGATAATACGGTGCCGCCTTTTGTATATGGTGTAATAAATTTTTAATAGTGTCTCTTTTTCAATAGAACCGTTAGTACAGTAAAAACAGGTCCTCTTATAGTTAAATACACGCAGTTTATACATTAATGCAGTCCAATTGCTCTTAGTCCGCTTCATCCCTACAACAATAACTAAATTCTACCGAAATACCCGTGAAGCTTAAGATGATTGTAAAAAAATTCTCGCAATGTGAACAATATCCAGCAGTTAATTATCTAATCTAACCACTGATAAAGATTCTCTAATATGCGCGATGCAAGATCAAAAATGTCAAATTAATATTTCACTGTTTTCGCTTCAGGTACTAAACTTCGGGTACTAAATTCAAGCTTGTGAAAAATGTGCAAAAAATTAAACTAAAAAATATATTTACTAAATATTTAAATCCAATCTTATTCTTAAGAACTAAGATAATAAAAACCTTCGATTATTTGCAGATATATTCACAAAGCTTAATTTTTTGCTGGCAATACTACTTTAGTGGTAGATACTGGAAGTTTTTAGAATTTGCCAATGTATGGAACTTCGTGTGTCGTTCGTGGCAGAATACCAAGCGAAAAAGAATGAGTGAAGATGATGTGACGGCAAATTACCAGAAAACAGAGTTGTGGCTTACCTTGAGGTGCGTCAACAAAATGCGCGTGGGGCTGCTCGAGGAAGAGTACCAGGAAAGCAGCGAGTCGCAGTGCAGTCGCACTGCTAGTTCGCGCCACGCACCCGTCGCATCTAGCACTCTTGACAAATCCTCCACGTACAAATCAAGCTCCGGCAGACCGATTCCAGAAGCCTCCTGACAAAATATATTATTAAGTTGAATAAAATATATTATTAAGTTTTAATCACAATCCTAAATCTTATTAAGTAGCACTTACAAACTGATTACAGCCTCTTTATATGGAATAAGAGTGACAAGCGAGCACACAGCCCACCTAATGGTAAGTGGATACTGTAGCCCATAGACATCTCCATTTATCCTCGATTAAGAATCAAAATGCAAATGCGTTGTCACCCCAGAGCACTAAGATCCAGTAAAAAGAGTCTCCGGTTCTCTCCACACATCATACGAAACACATTGATTACATTGCATTGATCTACTATTTTACTGGTATTCTGAAAGAGCGTAGTACTTCCCCGGTTAAGCCGACCCATTCGCGCTACAACTATAATATAGCTGCAGCAAAACTCTACCATGTATAAATATGTCTTATAGGTTTTACTGATATGCACGGGCTTCCTCTCATTTCAGAGAGGGTTACAGAGTTGTTACTCTACGACGCTTATCCAGTTCGTGTAGGCGGACTTCACATATACTCGAAATTTTTTTCCTTTCTCAGATATTCGGGTACCCTCAAAATATTTTCCTTCACCACCGAGCACCTGGTGAATTTTCAAATTCAAGGTTCAACAATAATAAATACTCAATTCAAAAACTTACACCGTCATCCGCCGATTCGTATTCGTCTTCGGGTTCTGATTTAATTTCGTCTTCACATAGCGTGTATGGTGCCAGATGCTTTTTTATAATTTCGTATAATTCCGGTTTGTCTCGTGCCAGCCTCCAAGCCGGCTGACTGTTTTCTTCATGTTTGTTTGGGTTAGCCTTAAAATCAATTACATGCAAATTAAGCTCGTTTATCAACTTTGATTGTTCTTATCTTCCTTTAGTACAGTTATATACTTCGTAGCTTACAAATACTGTGTTCCCGCGGGATTCGAACTCGCGGCTCACAGCGCCGTAGGCTAACGGTCACCCACTGCGCCACCGAGCCATTGATCTAAACTTATAACAACACAACTCCGTATGGAGACGGATTAAAAAGTGATAAGTCAGCACCTCTGCGCGATGTATAATTTTAGTGAGAATCGTAGTTGACTTCGTTGACGTTTGATTTCGTTCAATTATAATAAATCTAACCGTATTGATTATAAGTCGATGTCTTTTTAGTATTATATATCTCATTTATATGTGGTAGACATTCTGTCACTAAGAGATGGCGAATGTTCAGATTGATAAGTTGTGACGGATGGATAGATGGAAGAATTTCATTCACATCATATCACAAAGAAAAACCATAAAGTAGTTGCCGAGTGTTTTCCATCGGTTACGATTCCCATCAGAGTTTCACAATTGCATACCTGAATTCCTGAATTATTTAACGTTCGTTAGATAACATATGATGACAAGCTCGTGGAAACTGTCCATGCGGTCGGAGCTAAGTTTTGCAAGACACGCTGCAGAAGAACACAAAACTCTCCGATCACACTCTTAATCTCTTGGCTGTTAGACGGGATATGAAGCTGCAGTCTACAGTAGATTTGACAGCATACAGGCAATTGAACAGACAGATCTCCAAATGCATGCGGCGGGACTTACGCAACTTTAATACTGCTCGTATTGAAGAAGCGATCGATCGGAACCAGGGCTCCAAAGTCTTTGCCAGAGATCTGTCTGTCAGAAAGAGCCAACTATCGAAGCTGAAGACCGAATGTGGCAGCAACGTATCCGTGATACCTGAGATTATGGGAGAGATTGAGAGGTTCTATTGTCAGCTGTACACATCACGCATGTGTGAGTAACGATCCAAGAGCAAGTCTTATCCGACACTAGTCCGATGATATCCCGGACGTCAGTCGGAGCGAGATTAAAATGGCTTTCCAGGACCTTAAAAACCGGGAAGTCCCCGGATGAGGATGGAATTACAGCGGAGCTTCTGAAAGCGGGTGGAAAACGGGTACTTGAAGTCCTTCAGAAGCTCTTTAATTCCGTCCTCCGTGGTGGCACTATTCCAGAGTTCTTCAAGAAAGGCGACAATGCTCTCTTGAAAAACTACTGATCGATTTCCCTTCTGAGCAACGTCTACGTGCTGTTTTCGAGTCATTACGAATCGTCTCGCACGCAGACTCGACGACTTCCAGCCTCCCGAACAAGCTGGTTCGCAAAAAGGCTTTAGCACCATAGACCACATACATACCCCTTCGGCAAATTGTACAGAAGTTCGAGGAATACAATTTGCCACTATGTCTGGCGTGTGTGGATTATGAGAAAGCCTTTGATTCCGTCGAAATTTGGGCGGTGCTGCAGTCCCTTCAGCGGTGCCAACTTGACTGCCGCTATATCGATGTGCTGAAGTGTTTGTGCAGTAGGGCTACCACGGCTATCCGAGTACAGAACCAGAGCAGGAAACCTATCCAACTGCAGAGGTGTAACACAGGGTGACGTTATATCCCCGAAACTCTTCAGCGCTGCTTTAGAAGACGTTTTTAAGCTACTGGACTGGAAAGGATACGTTATTAACACCAATGGCGAGTACATCACTCACCTTCGATTTGCCGACGATATAGTCCTTATGGCAGAATCGCTGGAGAACCTAAGCACTATGCTCAATGACCTCAATAGTGCCTCCCAACGGATAGGTCTTAAGATGAACATGGACAAAACAAAGATCATGTATAACGTCCATGTCACACCTATGCCAGTATTTGTTGGGAGCACTAAGCTCAAAGTTGTTGACGAGTACCTACTACGAGTTTACCTGGGACAAATAGTCCGACTAGGTAAGTCCAACTTCGACCAAGAGGTCATTCGACGGATTCAAATCGGCTGGGCAGCGTTCGGTAAATTACGACACATCTTCTTGTCAGGTATACATCAATACTTGAAAACGAGACTGTACAACCAGTGCGTGCTGCCAGTGATGACTTATGGAACTGAGACGTGGTCCTTCACTGCTGGCCGTATGAGGAAGCTCAAGGTCGCTCAGCGAGCTATGGAGAGGGCTATGCTCGAGGTGACTCTGCGTGATAAACTTAGAAATGAGGATATCCGCAGTAGAACCAGAGTAACCGACATAGCCCAACGGATTAGTAAGCTGAAATGGCAAAGGGACGACCATATAGCACGAAGAACCGACAACCGATGGGGAAAAAGGTTCTCAAGTGGCAGCCTTGTACCGGGAGCGAAGTGTAAGGCGGTCCCCCACTAGATGGATTTACGACCCATTAAGACATGCCAGAAGTCGATGGATGCAGGTGGCTCAGGACCGTGCTTTGTGGCATTTCTTGGAGGAGACCTATGTCTAGCAGTGGACTTGTGAAGGCCTGTAATGATGAGTAATGAGATAACTTAAATTAAAAATTTTAAAAACCGCCGAAACAAAGAGCTGATGATATTCAAACTGCTGACCAGTTTTTTCGAAACATAGCTAAAGACACTCGATTAAGACACCTTTGAAACGAAAAAAAAAACCTAATAAAAATCGGTTCATCCGTTCAGGAGCTATGATGCGACAGACAGATACACAACAAACTTATAACACCGCTCTGTTTTCGTCGGGAGTTAAAAAACACTATACTGCGTACATTGATATCTCATTTAAGGTGAATGCGCCAGGGTGGCCCGCGAAATTCAAATTTTCTTACGTTTTTTTGGAATTTGCAGGTCAGGGTCAGGTTGTATGTTTAACAAAATATAATTCGTGACCGTAACGAGTATGTGTTTACAGAATTATTATCACTAAAATCACCACTCTAAGTTCATTTAATCCCTTTGAATGAGTTTTTCTGAAAATAACCATACATTAGAAATAGCCGTAATTATAAAAACCTTAAAATCGTAATTATAATATCTTAACTTTATAATGACTTCAAAAACAAAATTATTAATAACATAAAGAAATTTGCTTAGGACTTACATTTTTCTCTAAAAGTATTTTGACGATTTCAATAGAGTTTTTCCTTAAAGCTCCACCGCATACTATCTGTAAAGCTGTGTTGCCTCTTCCATCTACAGCATCAATATCATCCTACAAAAAATGTTTGTATTTATTATATTTATTTAAATATTAAATATTTTGCAATATTTAATATTTAAATGTTGTAATAACAATATTTAAGTATTAAACATAAAAATATTAAAATAACAAATAAAGATAAAAATGTAGAACATTTTAAAATAGTAGCAGACACTTTACTGTAAAAAAAATAAATTTTTAAATAAAATACTATTCAGTAATAATCTCAGACCAACAAAGAAAAATAGACGCTAAAACTACGTCTTGCAATACGATAAGCATGGTTTTGGCGTCACTTGAAATTAACGTAGGGTTTCATTTATCTTTCTTGGTTGGTCTGAGGCAATAATCAGTAACGTCCCCGCGCCCCCCGCCCGCCCCGCAGCCGGCGCCCGCGGCTCCGAGCCCGGCGAGGGAGCGCCCCAACCCGCCTAGAACTCGTAGCACCCCGCGACGTTATGGATTTGATTTTGATTAGTTGTAAGTTAGTTAAGTGATATGTGCTTTATTTTATATTAGTTTAAGTACGTTTAGAATAAGGGTGGAGGTGTAATGTAGGGTAAGCTTATTGTTAGTATAAGGAAGGTAGTTTATGACCTCTCTCTCTCTCGCAATAAATGGTTGAACTGTACGGACGTGTTTTCCTTTGTCTCAGAAACGTATGTGGAAAAGGACACCATTCAGTACGTACAACGCGGAATATTGCAGCGCTGATTTTCATTGGTACAACAGCGTGTACACAGATCCAAACATGTAGCGTAAAGATCTCTGCCGTCGTACTTTGAACGTGTTGTGAACGTCGAGCACGAAGAAAACCCCGACTGTCACTTCTAAGCCCACAAGAACGTATCAAAACATATCATACCCGTTTAATTTACTCGTTCAGTGACCGTATATGCCCCATTCAATAAGAGTACGTTATGGTGCCTGTTCAATCGGTTGCAGCCTATTTAGTTGAGAAGTACAAGTCTTAAGGAGCTTGGCGTGTTGTTGTTGTTAAAATTATTAATAATAAAATACGTATACGGAGGCGGTTATTAGTAAATTATTAAATAAGAGAACTAGTAATAATTGTTAATATTTTGGGTAACGGTGAGCATAACATACAGTTTCAACGCGTTTTGTCGCTTACGCAGAGCAGTTCGGTCGCAACAGTTTGCCGAATACTATATATTATATTCTACAATTAATATTTATTGCATTTTCTGCAACGGTAACCTTTAAGTGCATGAATGAAGACTTTGAAATTTGATAATATTCCTAAGTTACTTAAATTATATATACAGACTTTAAGTCACTTGAACCCTATTTAGATAGTTTTGACATTTAACACACACACACATACAGTTGTGTATCGATTATATATATTGTTACGAGCTTGGGGTTCGAGACAATTAAAAACTGCCGATTGAATTACCAAAATTAACACTTTAATTACACAACACTAATTACAATCTAAAATCACACTAATAATAAAACACAGTTCGCCGTTATTTCGCTTCGAAGTATTCTCTTGTATCGCCAATTCAATACTGCGTGGGGCATCTGGTGGTATTCCGGTGATCAGGTCTGCAGGCAGCCGTAATTCTCTCCCAAAGTTTGCGAAAGCTGGCGTCAATGATGTACTTTCGTGAACAGCGCTTCGACATGACAACAAAAACGGTTGTATGTGCCTGTCCCAGTCTCGTTGCCGTTTTTCCACAACTTTTGCCAGGTACCTTTCCAATGTCTGATTAAATCGTTCTACCATTCCATCAGATTGTGGGTGGTAAGAAGTTGTTCGTGTTTTATGAGTACCCATAACTCTGCAAGTTTCCTGGAATATTTGAGACTCGAAATTCCTTCCTTGATCGCTGTGAATCTCTAAAGGTACTCCAAAACGACAGAAGATTTCATGAACTAGTTTATCTGCAATTGTTGAAACTTCTTGATTTGGAATGGTGAAGACTTCTGGCCACTTAGTGAAGTAATCCATCACAACCATGAAATACTTGTTACCACTTTCACTTTCCGGAAACGGCCCCGCAACGTCAATGGCTATCCTCTCCCATGGTGCACCAACATTGTACAATTTCAATGCGCCTCTACTACGAATTTGAGGTCCCTTTACAGCCGCACAACTTGTACATTTGCGGCACCAGTCCTCGACATCGTCACGACAGTGGACCCAGTAAAACCGTTCGCGGATCTTCAGGAGAGTTCGTTTAACTCCCAGGTGGCCTCCTGAAGAACTACTATGGTACAGCTGTAGAACATCCGGTACTTTAGCCTTAGGGACAACCATTTGCAAATGACATCTGTCTCCCCGACCATTTTCCCATTTACGGCACAGGACTCCATCCTGAATCAGCAAGCTGTCCCATTGGGCCCAATAGCTTTTCGTGTTCGAACTCATTGCTGAGACGTCGCTCCACTTGGGCTTAGGAGCACTGGCCTTCATCCATTCCAGAATCGGCTTAATGTCCGAATCTTCCTGCTGTGCATGTTGTAGGCTGTCCTTCCACTCATTGCTGAGCTGGTCTGTCCTGAGCATTCTCACAGATACCACTTCCTTACCCTCTTGCCTAGTACAATGCTTGCAATCTTCAGGGCAAGGTCTCCTTGACAATGCATCTGCATTGCCATGAGATTTCCCGCTGCGATGTTCGATCACAAAGTCGTATTCCTGCAGTAGTTCAATCCATCTCGCAACTTGTCCTTCCGGATTTTTGAACTGCAATAGCCATTTGAGTGCAGCATGGTCAGTTCTTAAGTGGAATTTCCGCCCTAGAAGATATTTGCTAAAATGCTGCAAGGACTTTACCACAGCAAGCAATTCCCGTCTTGTGACACAATAGTTCCTTTCCGGCTTTGACAACGACTTGCTGAAGTACGCTATCACAATCTCTTGATCACCATTCCGTTGAGACAACACACCGCCAAGTCCTATATCACTTGCGTCTGTGTCAACTATGAATTCCTTGCCCGCATCAGGGTACCCCAAAATAGGTGTTTTGCACAGACGGTTCTTGAGCTCCTGGAATGCAATATCGCAACTTCCATCCCAGCAGAATTGTCGCTTCTTCTCGGTTAGCTTGTGCAGAGGTTTGGATATATCTGCAAAGTTCTTCACAAATCGCCGATAATAAGAGCACAAACCCAAAAATGCTCTAACCTGTGTCTTGTCTTTTGGAACCGGCCACTCCTTGACAGCGGCAATTTTTTCTGGATCCGTGCGGATACCTTCTTCCGACACTACATACCCCAAAAAACTAACTTGCCGTTTGAATAGTGAGCACTTCTTTGGACTCAACTTGAGGTTGGCACTCTGGATCTTCATGAGCACGCGTTCCAGGTTTTGAAGGTGTTCCTCAAACGTACGGCCTACGATGATGATGTCATCCAAATAGACCAGACAGGCATCTCCAATTAGCCCGGTAAGTACAAGCTCCATCAATCTTTCAAACGTTGCTGGAGCATTGCACAATCCAAACGGCATGACTTTAAATTGCCACAGACCCTTTCCTGTGGAGAATGCAATTTTCTCCTTGTCCTTAGGGTCAATTTCAACCTGCCAGTAGCCACTTTTCAGGTCCAGCGTACTAAACCACTTTACGCCTGTGAGCATGTCCAGCGTGTCATCAATTCTAGGCAAGGGATAGCTGTCCTTCTTCGTAACGTCTTTAAGGCGGCGGTAGTCAACACAAAACCGCATGCTGCCGTCCTTCTTCTTTACCAGCACCACAGGTGAACACCATGGACTAGATGAAGGTTCAATAACACCATCCTTCACCATACCCTCAATCATGGTTTCCACTTCCTTTTCACGTGCTACAGGCAATCTTCTTGGCCGCTGACGAATAAGCAATTCTTGTCCTGTGTTTATTTTGTGTTGAACTAAGCCAGTCTTTCCTATGTCAGCTTCGTTTGACGAGAAAACATTGGCGTACTTGAGTAACAACTTCTTCGCCTTGACCATTTCATTCGGGGAGAGAACGCTGCGACAGTCTTCTAAAAGTGTGGTCACTCTCGTTTGTCCATCCTTGCTAGGGGTCCCGGTCGATAGATATTCGCACCGACGCAACCAATCTACTTCCTCACTAGTACCAACCAATGTGCCTTTTTCTATAATCTGTTCCTGATCACAAAGGTTCAACACACGTACTCCTGAGATGTCGGTGGTTCTGACCAAGGTTCGAGCCACTTTCCATGGAAGGTCATTGTCTACCCTTTCCACGAGTACACAACGATGAGCTTGCCCAGGACTCCGAGGAAGACTAACCGGCACAATCGTTTCCGATCTCGGCGCAAGAACAATCTTCTTAAGGCTGTACACATTCCCTGGTAACGCCCCTTCCATGAAAAGTTCCTCTTGTCCACATTTCAAAACACCTTGCTTAATGTCGATCTCACAACAATTCTTCCTCATAAAGTCTAGGCCCAGGATGCAGTCGTCCATTATATTAGCCACGATGACATTATGCAGGTAGATCATGTTGCCTAGCTTCAACTCCATCCCCTTCTCTCCACGGACGGGTATGCGCTGACCAGTGACTGTCACCAAATTAATGCGTTCTCGGTTGTATGCGGAGTCCCTAAGGAACCGACTTATAAGTTGGGAACTGACAACCGTGCGAGAGGCTCCAGTGTCTATGGTCAGTTTACACGGCGTTCCGTTGACTTCGCCCTTGATGATTAGGCTGTTCCCATCATGGGTTTGTGAGATCGAAATCCTTGGGGCTCTTTTAACATCAGCCAGCACCCGCCCCGCAGTCCTGGCTTTTACTCGTTTCCCTGCTG